GCAAAAAGGGCATTAACACCCTGTTGGATCCTAGATGACATGTTTTTTTGATTACTGGTACTTAAAATAATATTTGCAATTTTCATGCAGTACATTGGTCTGATCAAACTTGGATCTGATAAGTTAATAAAACATGATGTGGGTGGATCCATATTTATCTTTCTATTCTACTCTCAAACCAATTGCAAATCTTCTTCAATATTTACCTGAACAACCACAATTGATGGAACAACCACAGCTACAGGAATTATATGCATCGTTGGCTAGATGGAATCATCCTAGCATGAACATCAATGTATCATCTATACAGAACATGCAGAAGGGGTGTTAACGCTGTGTTCAAGTATATGAATTAAGGTGTCTTTTTGGTTCCAAACAGATGAAAATGTGGTTGAGGGAAGAGATTTGCTTATGAATTTCAATTAGATTGCAATCCATGTTCATAAATATCTAACATAGAGTCCCACCCACTCAATGTATGCAGCAGGGGCCTATCTGGTAAAAATTGCATTTCAACACTGCAAGTAAGAAAATTAAAAGCAACTTCTTTTTCAATCAACCATGTTGTATTTGTGACTTGCTTTTAATGTTTAAGTTGTGTTTAATAACAACTTACTATGCAAGAGACACCTGGTAGCTAGCACTATGAACATGACGGACAAAGAAAGCGGACAAAATATACAGTTCCTCAGGTAGACAAAGGAACATCTCTTCACTGCTATTATGTAAAAAGTGAATATGCATGTAACACCTGTTCTACACATTTTTACATAATAGCAGTGAAGAGGCGTTCCTTTGTCTACCTGAGGAACTGTATATTTTGTCCGCTTTCTTTGTCAGTCATATTCATAGTGTAGGAAACACAGACCATCAAGAGCTCATAAAAGAGTTCCAGTAGTATAACTATAGTTATATCACGGCCGATGTTCCTTTTACCATTGGCATTGCCCTGGAACTGACCTAGATATTCTAGACTTTCATTCATTCAGTCAGTCAGATGGAATTCAAATCTTATTTGGCACAAAACCAAATGTCTGGTCCTCTTATTCAGAATTAATAATTGATTGAGTCTTTGATGTCTGTTTCACAGTGATGACCTTTTATTAAATCCTCTCCCTGGATGATGAATAAATGGGCAATGCTGAACGTGAGAAAGTGACACGGTGACACCTGATGACAGCCACTATTCTTCACAGTGTACAAATTTGATTTGTCGTTTACTACAAACTAAAATCTATTGCATCTTTTTTAAAGGTACACTGTAGTTGCATTGATTTAAACATGTTTTTTTAAATCTATGACTCCATACCTATCCTCATCACCCCCCCCCCCCCCAGATGGCATATTGGAATCCATATCACTTATCAATCTGAAATACCACTTAAAGGGATCGTTTAACAATGTTAAATCTGAGATACACGACCCTACGTGTTATCAGTGTCTGTGATATGGTGTAATATTGAAGCCCTAAAAAAATTGCGATCCAAAATGATGAAGAAGTGCCTCCAAAAAGTAAAAAATCTTTGAGTGACCGGTTTTACCATACTCGTTTACCCCAATAGACTGTAGTGTTATGAAAACCGTCAGTCGAACGGTTTTCAAAATTTGTAATTCCAATCATGAATATCTTGATAATCAGACAGGCGATCGGCTTGTAAAGGTCATGGGGTTCCTGACTGACCTAAAGGTTTATAATTATCATTGCATCATGAGCTAAATCCAGAATTTAATTTCAGAATCTGAGACAAAGTTACCGGATCCCTTTAACAATTACTGAACAATCTCAAACACACTAGGGTCAGGGTATACAAGAAGCATGATGAAATAAAATCATGAGCAATTTGGAGGTAAAATTATAATAATCACTGATATATGATAGAATATTATTGAATGAAGGTCAATAGAAAATTTAAATTATGACACTGAAATCTAAAGAAGATGTGAATTTCTGCTTCTGTCTTTTTTTTAAAATCCTACTTTCTCCCCCAAATATGCAAATCATTGATTTTATCTAGAAAATAGAGAGAAAACAAGTACATGTTACATATGAACTAAAATTGGAGTAGACCTCGTAGTGAACTTCAACGGCTGGTGTAATGACTCAAGGTGACACAGGAAAACACCACTTAGTCCCGCACTAAGGAATCCATGTACGGTTTTTGGACAATAGCGTTCCTTTTGCCGGAAAATACCATTAGAGTGCATCAGGTGACGATGCATTTAACGTCAAGAACAGGCCATGTGGTAATATGTCATGTGATGAGATATGCACATGACTTCCGAGGAATTTGGATTCTTTAATGTCTTTTTCTCACATATAATCTTATCGTGTTGCGTCTAATTTTCTCATTTCTTCCACTCTGAAGTACTTCTTCCATAGGGATATGTATGATTAGTTCAATAATATATTCTGTCAATCAAAGACAAATGGAAAGAAGTGGAGGAAATGAGATGAAAGATAGAGAAAGGCAAGAATACAACAAACTCACATGTTTTTTTTCATTTGGCAGTGTGAGAAGGGATATTTGTGCATTTAAAAATGAAAAACTTTCTATAAAATTGGAAAAAAAAAGTATAGGATATCTTTTAAAACCATGGTTCCTTTTTGCATGTTGCATACATATCTGAAAAAAGTCATCTAGAGAAGATATTATTTATACATCTTCATGGTAGAAATTTATTTATCACAGTAATAGTTTTCATAATTTTATGGTCACAAATGATTTACATAGAATATATTTCACAACTAAGATTCCAACGATACATGTATAGGCCTATCACATGGATTACAGTACCTACGTTCCCGAGGTCCTCACAATACATTGACATGCAACACACGTACATGAGGCTAATTAAAATTGATCCAGGGATGTACGAAATACATTAGCCATACATTACCAAGAGTAAAAAACAACCCCATCAAAACAACAAATAGCTTTTACTGCATAGAGGCTTGTGGCATGTAGGCTTGATTCAAGACCACTCCCATTAGTTTATACTTTCTTTACCTCACATAAGAATATTGATATTATATTAACTGATTAAAAAACTTGGTCTATGTGTTTCTCTTTATAATTGTTAACGCTGTTAAAAGAAAAATCAGACTGTCTCTCTTTCTCTCTATTGCCAAGTCGATGTACAGTGTATTCCTTATGCTAGGTTCCACACACTCTCCACATTAGATGTACATGTATGTTTGTCGGTCAGTGTGTCTATCTTTCATACTCTGTCCAAAGTGAGCTTTTTCATCACCCCAGCACTTGAATGCTTTTCAGAATTATCCAAAAGATGAGAAATTTAATATCCCACACTAGCCATAGTAAAGACATGCCACCAACAATGCAAAAATTGATGAGTAATACTTGATATAAGGCTAGAATCAAGCCATTTTAGGAGCTACAAGGTCATGAAACCCAGCTAAATCAATGATATCACTTTAATGAAAATATGATAGAGAAGGATTCATCTACCTCTATCGTGTACATGATATGGATCGATGTATATTTACATATTGCATTGATTTTTTTACATCCATTTTACAACATACATTATTTAATCGGCAAGAACTGATTCTGACACGCCTTCTTCGTCATTGCTATTATTGTTGTTGAAAGTATGTGTTCTTCTTGAAGGGGGAATATCCATAAACCAGCAGCTGCCTCAGTTACATTATTAATGGTACACAAGAGACACAACCCAATGTGGCCACAAATCTGTAAACTGCTAATAATATGCATATTTATCTATCTACAGTGGGGAAAGAACTCATTGCTATATTATATACAACCTATGTAATAAGTTATAAATTTCCCATCACAACTTTTTGATAATTTACAAATTAAAAAGCATTACAGAATTCTTGCATCAATACTTTAGGCCATTTTAAAATGAGCATGAAAATCCTGAAAAACATTACAAAGGTAGTGAACATAATACAGTATATTAGTCATTTATTCTATAGTAAATAATTCATATATACTGTTTTCATTCAAATTTGATCACCAACTGAATTATTAATATCACTTCTATTCCATTAAGAGGACAGTATACAAGTTTCCTCTGTTACGAATATCATGATGCCAAAACATAGTTTGCTTTCATCTCGCCTGACACATTTTTTCGTTTTGTTCTGGGGTTTTTTTTTAAACACAGCTCTTCTTTTTAAGCATAATTTCTCTGAAGAGAAGGTCATATGCCCACACAGATCCAATAATGTACACATGGATAAACATCTAGTCATCCCCACCCCCCTCATTAAAAAACAGAGACGAGGAATATCACGAGCAGAAAAGGAAAAAGACAGTCCTAATATTTGAAGAGAAAAACAAAAAATGTCGAGGATTAGAGAAATAAAGAGGCACTGAGTAGGGAGAAATGATGTGAGTTACTTTGGAAAAGATAATAATTATAAATGAATTTCTAGATTAATCTAATCTTCTATAAAGTATAGAAGCAGGAAAGAAAAGATGGAATATTTAAAAATATTTAAACAGAAAGATGTGTAAAGAGAGGGGGTGAGTTGAAGATGGAGAGGGGACATAAGAGAATGAGAGAGATACAGAGAGATGCACAGAGAGAGAGAGAGAGAGAGAGATAGCAAGGGAGTGGTTCATAGCAAGCTATAAGACAGGTAATTTAGATATAATGGAGAGAGATCCATGCCGAAGATGGTTGGCAGAAGTAATACCAGTCAAATTCATTTGACATTTTGCATTCTTCTGCTCTGCTGGTTCCATTTCGAAGGACCTTTAGACTGTGGGATGACCACTGAAATTGTGAATTTCCGTGGGGCGGCAAATGCAACCACGCTTCTTTGATATGTTAATATGTAAAATAATAAACAAAAGTAAATTAGAGATGTTGCCAATCTTGAAACGCACATTTTAACTCAAAATTGAATATAATATTACGAGAAATTGTACAATAGAATTCACTGAAAAGGCCGATATTCTCCGCGTGCGTTAGAGATTTTCACGACGTCCGCAATAGCGTGTGATAGCATACGGGCTGCTCAGCCTCGTTCGCGCTCTCTATTTATTTTTTTGCACTGCATTCGTACACACACGTGTACGTGCAGAATCCACAATAACAAACATGGATGTGACTTCGTCTGCATCGGATTCCGACAACGAAGATGACATTGTATCACCGTCGCCTGCCTGCTGCATGCATGTTGTACCCCATGGAAAAGGGCATGTTTCATTTTTTCATGAGAAGAGCTGGTCTAAATTCAAGGATTGCTGTGTTCGGTGAAGTCGAGTTGAAAGTGCCGAAACAAAGATAGCTATTCGTGCTGCGGAGAAGTTTGGGATTGACCTGCACGGGCAGGAGGGCGAGCCTCACCGGCAGCAAGATCACTCAAGCCTCGTACCATCGTAGGTGCTACCAGCATTTTTGCAATGTTGGAAAACTTGTCAGGGCAGAGATTACAACGGAAAAACGAAAAGCTGAAGGTAGGTTCAATTTTAACTTCAGATTTCAGAGTTTGAATACAACTCAAAATTAAAACAGGTCAAAGTCAAAAACTCAAACTTCATTAAATGTTATGAACATGTCAATGCCAATGTCAATGACTCAAACTCAAAAGTCAAAGTTGAACCCCCACCGCCATGACTGCCAATTAGTATAGTAGTAGTAGATGTAGTAGTAGTATACTGGTAGTAGTAGTAGTAGTAGTAGTAGTAGTAGTAGTAGACTGATATCTGGATATGGGCAGCCAGGGCAGGACTTGTTTTCCATCAATCCAAGCCGGTTAATGCTGGTAACTTTTAATTATCTAGTCGGGTAACCAACTAAACGGTAGATCTGCATGCTGCCACCATCTTTGGTGGTTATTATTATGTTATGATGCAATTCGTGGTCACAGGCAGAGGATAATATCTGCAGCTATAATGCAGTATAAATGGCCATTAATCATTAGGGTCTATGCGAGAAAACTGTAGATCTAGATTAAAGTTTATTATACAAACTTTACAATTACAATTTGTTTTTCTTTTCCAGATGCAGATGTGGAATCGGCTGAAGAAGGCAGTCTTCATTCTGCACCTCCAAGAAAGATGCTGCGATCGAGTCTTTCCCCTACGAAAGGTCGGCATGTCCTGCCAGCAGAATGCATTGTATGCAGAAAGATTCAATGGAAGACAGTAAACTTACAGGCAAGAGATTCAAGGTCCCCGTTTCCAGGTGCGAACAAGTTTCAGCTACAAAATTCCTGAAAGCAGCTGAGATGCGGCAACACACCCGCATCCTCATGCAGATCCGCGGAAAGGATATGTTAGCTACCGGTATAGAGCTACAATATCACAAAGGTTGTTACCAGGACTTCACCTCCTGTCTGCGCCAAGCAGAGAGAGCTGCAACAAATACAGACACTGATGATCTCTCCCTCCCACTTACAACTGTTTGTTTGATCTGATAAGGAGGAGGATTGTGAAAGACAAAGAGGTGCTCAGACTCAAGGACTTACATCGTTCCTTCGTTAAGGCAGGTTTGAGAAATAAAGGAGTGGACTTGTCATCATACCAGACCAAGAAACTGAACCAGCGACTTCAAGTAACATTCCCTCAGCTCATATATATTCGTGTCCCCGCAGAGACAGAATGAAAGTGAGATTGTGATGGTCGGTGACATGGAGGCATCATCACTTGCTGAGCACGCTGTACATCAAGATCAAGCAACTAGCACTTCATTCAGTGAAGAGTCTGCCTCAGATGAAGATGAGATGTTTTTTAGTTTCATTACAAATACAAATGTATGATATTATAAACCAGGCACACATTGCACAAAGAGCCCCATGGCTGTAAAGTACATGAATTATATAGTGATCCTTTAAATACTACTTTTAAAATATGTAAAGATGTAAAGTGTTTTTTTCTTAATGATATACATGTAATTTAAATTTGGATCTAATTAGAAAACATTATTCCTGTGTCATTATGATGTCAAGCTAATATATTAGTAGAATTCTACAAGCGTAAATATGCCATTTAAACATTGTCTTATTTTTGCTCTCGTTCTTCCATTCTACAAATAAGTGAAGCATTTTGGAATTTAATGATATGAATATACTGTAAGATGCTTATCGATTATTTAAATTACTTAAGATACCGGTGAAGTTGTTGTTTCAAAGAACTCAGTATGTAGGTGTATCATCTCATTATACTTACAAACCATCATACGGTGATAGAAAAACTTAAAGTACATGTACATACTGGAGTCATAAAACCCAAGATTAAAGAAATGCAATGTACCTATTTACATATGATGGATTATCATGAATAACATGTACATCATTATAGTATATAATTTGAAGTCATCAATCAAATTTATATAAAAGTTGAATGAACCAAAATCATGTGTCAAAATGTTTATTTCAATGTACTTTAAGGAGAAACCCCCAAATAGCAATGGTGAAATGTATGTATGTGGCTGTGATGAATGATAAACACCTATGTTTTGTGCAATTAGATATGAGTGTGCGTGTTGGGATGATTGGTCAACAGTGGCGAGCGAGCGCGAGTCCAGTTAGAGAACTAGGCCATAAAGTAATGGGAGGGTGTCATATTATGTTCATTCTATGTTGCATTTCCCTCTTCTGTTTTCGGTCTATCTTCCACTCTTAACATTTTCTCACGTTTTTGTTTTTCAATATGTTTAAGGAAAGGGAGGGTTATTTGCACGAAGTTGCCAAAGTTGATTGATTTTTGAACTGAAGTTGCGTATTGGAATGTATGAATGTTTTTTTAATTATTTGTAAGGTGGTTGCTGTCCTGCGAATAAATGTGCTAAACCATAGTGTATTATGTTGCAGGATGATTTGGAAAATGACATTTTGTATTGTTGTAATCAGTGACATAGATAAGGGGGAATGGGGGAAATTCCTTTTCCCTCATGAGAAGGAAAATTTTAAAAAGATCAGAGGGACAAGGAAAAGAAAGAAGATAATAGGACCACCTCTCACACTGTACATTATTTGGCCTAAATTTGCATATCATTCCCAAGTAAACTTGATGCCCTACCAAACATGATGCCCGTGCCCCCTTTGGTTGCAGGAAATATACTTGCATCTCGTTGCAATGTACATTATTGAATTGAATTGCTGAGAAAAAAATAACACAAATACTTCTGATTAATTTTTTTTCATTTTCTTTTATTCAACTAGTGTAAGAGAACATACAAAATCAAATGAAATCAAAACAAATATATATATATATTTTTTAATCTGACAAGGAAGGAAATTCCAACCCCTCCCCCCCCCCCCCCCGAGCATAGGATTTTTATTTAAAATCAAACCTAAATTTAAAATAGGTAAAAGGAAACTCACTTGCTTACACATCGACTATTCTAGACAAGTTAAAAACTTTTTTAAAAATGCCTGAGAAAATCCTACTTTTTTTCAAATTCTTGACATGATGACATGATGATCCAAAAGACAGAATGCGTTCTAAATCTCAGATTTTAAAAAAAAAGCTATTTGATGTACATTTGTATATTTAAAAGGTTAGATACTAAAATCAAGATTACTATTTGAATAACTTAGTGCATTTTGGCAAGGAATGTTAAAAAAGGACACAGAAAAGAGTACATGGGACTGTAGTGGAAATTTACACAAAATAGGCATACAAAAACGCTTTTATCTTCGTTATATGCCTTATTTAGGGATGGAGACATTCATAATTGGTTTTAGCACCTTCCATTACCCCTATTTAGAGTGTTTTTGTGTGGTTGCATGAGGTGCCCCACGAAAATTGAAAACTAGCCACATTTTTCGCCTCCATCCCATGGTCTACTTGCCAAAGAAACTGATTTCCTCCAGCAAAAAGGCCTCATCTTGTTTACCATCAGGCTCCTTTCCTTCATCCCACAAATCTCATAACAATGTGAGCCAAGTTAGAAAATAATCAGATAAAAATAATTCAAGGTTTGGAGAAGAGCTGAAGACATATAAAAAGTGAATTAGACTGCATATCAAGGTAAATGCAGAGTGTGTATATGCAGACGGAGAGATAAATGATTAATCGTTTGAGAGAGAGAGGGAGAGATAGAGATATAAAGAGATGTGAGGAAAGGAAAAAGTACTTAGATAATAAGGATAGACAGAGGAAGATTAAGAGAGAGAGACAGACAGACAGAGAGAGGTCGACAACAAAGACAGAAAAAGATAAAAAGAGCTACAGAAACAGAACTCAAAGGTTCAAATCAATGTTTTCCAGGATGAGCACCTTTTTCACACCACAATGGTCCCTTGTATCTTAGGCATGAAACCACAGTTTGATGTAGAATTTTTGTGCTTCAATACCTGTATTTGCAAAACAAGGCATGCAGTAATAATATATTGCTGCTCACTGTTACTGAAAATGAATCATTGGACAGTGAAAGGGTTGTATAGAAAATGTAGGAAGATCATTTTTTCTATTGAGAACAAGAAGGTCATTAGTCATTTTCCTTCTGGCTGTAAAGGAATGATAATAAATCATAAAGGAATGTCACATAAAGTTACAGCCATAGAGGTAACACTGTGCATAAGTACACGCGCAAGAAAAGCCCACCCACTTAAACTTACTACATTTTTTGTAATACCGGGTATATAATTTCATTTTAGGTCATGGATCCTGACTCTTTATCAAATTTTTGTTTGGAATGATGACTCATATATACGATTCACTATACAACATATCATTTTACAACCATTTGTTATCTAATACCGGTATTCAGAAAAGAAAAAAAGTAACATCTATCAAACAGCTACATGTATATGGTTTTGGTACAGCTATACGATAAGTTTCACTTGTCTGAAAGGGAGTATGTCTCACAGCACAGCATGCAGGAGACATGGCAGTCATCCTGTGAGATTGGAGCAAACAAGACAGAAATAGAAGCAGACTATGATGAAATACACATGCAAATGTGAGGAGGGGACAGGGGAGAGAGAGAGAAAACACTGTTTGCTTTTGATTAGGGAATTATTAGTTGTTTGTGACTTGCCTGAAAGGATTTTGAACTTCAGATGGTGGAATGATTGATGGCTATGTCCAAAAATTAATGGATGCGTGGATTCAAAGATGAATCCTCTAGGCTCTACAGAATGCTTGTAATCCACTCCCTGCTAAATTGATTACATATGATTTGCCCCTGATTTATATTCTTCATTGTAGGCAAATATTGGGATGAAGGATGACAAAAGGTAACCATATCAATGTAATATGGAGGAGATATACACGGTTCCCTGTTCAATTAAATATCCTTTCAAAAAGAATTGGAAATTTTAATTATTGATGCATCTCTTTTAATAGCAAGGATGTACAGTTAATAATACATCTTCTATGCTTCTCACTACACTATAATCCAATGTTTCATTTGAATTTTGGATTAAAATTGAACTATCCGGGTTGAAGAATGATATTAAAACAACTACAGATTAAAAATTCATAAGCAAGATAAATTCAAGGCATTTAGCTAGTACCACTGGCATCCAAACTGTATTTTGGATTTTTATTTCTTTTATTCCTCCATGCCTGACTCTATTGTTTATCATTCTTCTGGCTATTTGTTAAATGTGTTTTGACTTTCAGTGATCCACAATTAGGCATAGGTTAGGTTCACTGTGTTGCTATATATATCACATTACGTCTTCTCATGCATAGAATATGTATCATAAACTCGCTGTAAAGCGCTGACTAACAGAGCTTGCTATGTGGAAATCCTTTCTGCCAATATATGGATGAAATTATGGAGGACTTGATAAAAGAGCCTGGCTAGCAGCCTGTTCATTAGGAAGATGAGCCTGGTCTAGAGGCAATTATCATGCTCTGTCACAAACAAATTTGTTTGGTGTTGGTTTATGCATGGGTAATTAAGCAGTGGAGTGGCATGGAAGGCAGTGAAAAGAGAAAAGGGATCGATGGCAGTTGCCACTTATCCGTGAATATATGAGATCATCAAAATGAATCATGCTCTGTTTCAGTCGGTTAAATATGGAAGAACGCTTGTTTCACTAACTGCATAACCTTGCTCATTAGAAATTAAAAATTGCCCTGATTCAGTTTGAATACAAAGAATTCTTTGATGAAACCTTTGTCTTTTTGAATGTCCCAATAACTTTGCAAAGTCCACAATTAATCATTTTTAAAAACATGAAGAGTTTGAACAATGATGGGAGATGTTACATTGATAGAGATAACACGAAACACAAAATAACAATTGTCTGTGCATTTATTGGTGGAGATGCATACCCCTTCGAACTATATTTCTCAAGTTAGGTCTGAACAAATAGGGCTATAAAAATGCCACTCCGTCTCGGCCCCAATAACAAGTCACTTTGGTTGAAAAGCCAGAGAAAAGAATATATTGGTAAAAGTTCCAAATTCAACAAATAATATGAGAGTTGTGAATGTAGGCAAGGTGGGAAAAAACAATGGAAAGCATGCATGTTTTAAAACTTAATTTGATAAAGATAATGCTTTTCTGTCAGCATGTGTGAAGTGATACCTCAGTCACAATGATGGGATCGACACCATCGACATCTACAGACCAAACATAGAATTACATCACCCTCACTGGCCAACAATTGATTGGTTTGGAGACAGCTTGGAATCAGTTAAGCAGTGTGACTGAGGTATACATGACATCTCATTTGTAAGATTTTCTTGGCATCTCCCCCTCCTACGAGTGCCCCCTTCTTATATAGCTCAATATGCATATGTGGGTGGATGTGGGCGTCAGTAAACAAGGGGCAGAATAGCATGAGAGATCATGTTCATCATAAGAAATTTGGGTAAATGATAATTACATGTTGACATATGAATCTCCCTATCAGTAAATTATATAGAAAATATTTGCTTGGTCTGTAAAAGTCAGGTAAGCTTCTTAAATCAATTACCGGTATTTGCCTTCATTGGGCTATAAAAGTATTAGTTATTACTCAATGCATGGAGGCTGGATATATACACATACAACAATTATTAATGCATATTTCAGAAAATTGTACATACAGCGTAATCAAAACGAGCCTGTTAGTCAATTATATTTGACACAAGTGAAAACAGTGAAATATAAGCAAATTCAGTATATAATTCTTCCATAAAATTAATGGCCGAATTGGGCAAGTGCCTACCAGGTATATAAAGGGTTGTTTTGCCCCCCCCCCCCCATTCCTTTAAAATACAACTGCAGCAAATAATTCCAAGATTTTGTTAGATTGATGGAAATTAGAAGGGGGATGATCATCTCCACCCTCCCCCTTAGCTGATGAGCATCTAAGCATAAGGATGATGCAGCTGCAATGGAAGCACCCGGCCATCTCGCCCGCCCGCTGCATATCAATCCCTGGAGTCTTTCCCTGGGCCCTCCTGC